ATCTTCACGGATGGAAACTCTCTGGAACTTCACCGATCATCTTCTCACCAAACCAATGTATCTTCAGCTGTCATGGCAGAAGCGCTTGCTATCAGGGAAGCTTCGATCCACGCCTCAAGCCTCAATCTCACCAATATCTGTCTTCGCACAGACTCTCAAGTGCTCGTTCGAGCAATCACAACGAGAAGACGCTCGACGGATCTCTATGGAATCCTCTCGGACATCGACTCTTTGGTTTTTCCCCCTTCGTCTCCTTTCGTCTCTTGCTCTGTTTCTTTTACATCTAGGACCCGTAATGGGCCAGCTGATCTGTTAGCGAAAGCATCTCTGTTTTCGTATTTGGGCCTGAGGCCATAACCTTTTTCTATTGAATGAATTATCCAGTTGCTCAAAAAAAAAAATATCACTTGATACTATGATTACATTATAAGTTCTGCGTAAGTTCATTTTCTTTTACCCAATTGGTTTATTCTATATAATAATACATACATAACTAAATCGTAAATTGATATATTGTTTCTTTATGAGAGAAATAAAACATGATCATGTTTTAACTAAATTTTCCTTCTAAATAAAAAATTCCTATTTTATTTTCTATTTGAGAATTAAAAGTAACTAATTTTCAAAAAGTTCTTCAATTTATAAAACTTTTATATTTTAAATATTGATAAATGTTATGTCTAACTATTTGTTCACTTTATTAAAGAATTCTCTTATTATTCTCTTTATATAAATATCTAATTTTATTTAAACAATAACCACTACATTAAGGCAGTTATCAACAAGTTAAAAAACTATGCATACCTTAATATACATTATATAACCCTATGTTTTCTATAAATATATATACACTAACCATTACATTAGGATAACCCAACATTATATAACTGTATATGAATTAGATCTTTTTAAAATATAATAAAAAACTACAGAAAATGTTACATATTCACAGAAACATAAACACACAAAAATTACAACTCAACATATATATATCCGCAGGTCGAAATCTAAAACAGACAAATACGATTACAAAAAATAGGTATATGTGCATATGATTACATAAAAAGAAACGTATGTTGAATCAACTTTAAAATTGCTATTATTTTATAAAATATATTTTGATTAAGATTATACAAAAATATAGTTATTAAAAACATAAATATAATTATAAAGATAGATATAAATATGAAAATTAGCAATTTACTAGAATCATGTATTGACCACCATCAATATCTGAAAATAAAAATAAAAGAAAACCAAATATATTTAAGGCAAAATATGTTGAGCTAACTTAAATAAAATATTTTTTTCCAGCAGAGTAAAGCAAAATCAAATATATTTAAGGTCTAAACACAGTACAAAAGTCAAACTAATTCCTCAGTTTTCCATCTTTTTTTCTTCTTCCATCGTTCTAGATTAAACCGTGTCCAATTAATGTTTAAACCGAGCCTAAATCAAACGAAAATCAGCATCTACAGATTTTGCCAAAATAACCTCGTATGGACCCACATCTCAGATGTATTCCAAGCAAGATAAAAGGTAGTAATTACTTTAAATGGCTTGTAGAGTAGTACTTTGGTGTTGGCAACCATCAACATTGTTCTCATCAGCAGTTCATGCTTTCTAACATTTTCAACATTATACATGTTAAGAATTTCGCTTTGCACGACTCCATATTTGTGATGTTGATGGCTGAATGAATATCTCGGAGCATGCCGAAACATAAACCCATCACGTAGGAGAGATCGGAGAACACAATCATGGTGCATCTCTTGAGTACCTCGAACAACAAACATCTTCTTATAATCAAACCAGTTCTTGGCATATTATTTGCAAACTATCCTATTAATTTGTTCACGGATGTTAACAACATTCCAAATGCGAGATATACATTAATCTCAATAGATTTCAACCAACTAAAGCACAATCTGCATTAGGGAATGTGACAAGAAAGCCAAAAGTGATTACATCAAGCATTAATATATGTCTTCAATTAAATATCTGGAGAGAGTAGTTTACAAAAAAAAACACATAGATTGATCTAATAATACTATAGCTAGATAAAAACATTTTCAACACACGAACATAATCACCCAATAGATAGGCAAACTACAATTTATGAATTGTGGAAGTAAAAGAAACATTGTAGAAAACATATTCATTCGCATATGACTAAATGTTATTTTGCGATTTTGATTACCAAAGTTTTGGATTGATTAAATATGGTATTCTATTTATGTTTAAGCTTTTTTATCTCACTTTTATACATAGAGAGAAAATAATGAATCCACAAAATATGATTGGTTTAAATCTATTTACGAGAAGATCAATGACTCAAAATATTTATATACAAATTGATAAAATGAAGAAACACTTGAGAAATATAAATTTAGTGAATACTTTGCTAAACGAATAAAAAATTATATGGTGATAAGGTATAATGATGACTGTGATAAAAATCCATTGAATGTATCTGAGCTTTTACACTATTATTTAAATATAAAAATTTTATAAGTTTCTAAAACTATAAAACCTCAAAATCTACTTTTTTAGCTGGAAATTTCTTAGATTTTAATGAAAATGGTAGTAGACAAATGGATGCTTAATTGATTTGTACAATATTTGGTCAGCAATAAGCCTCTAGAAGACTTGTTAAAGGTTTTTTCTTACAAACATATTGTATTTTTTTTTGTCAAGTACAAACATATTGTATATATATTTAAAAACAAGTTTATATAATCTGACGATGTATATCACATCAGGTAATGAGATTTATAATTATTTTACGCTTGGGCTATTTGAATATGAATCATTACGAGTCAAACTTACATTTTGAACTCAAGTCAAATAAAAATAAATATGAATATATAGAAAATATTATAAGGATTACAATAAATGTTTATAAAATTTTGTAGTTGGATAGTGAAACTTAATTTAGCTGACTAAAATTTGAAATTGTTTATTGTTAGATAAATGAAGCTCATAGTTTAATGAATGGAACTTGAGATATTGTTGATTGTTGGATTAGATAAGTTTAAAGATAAATTCAATAGAAAGTGAATAGAGCTTAAGGTTACATGATTGTGTCAAACTGTTAGGTTATGCTAGGTTTTATTTTATTGTTGAAGTGTTGATCAAAGTTTCATACTAGGATATTATCTTTGTTTATCTACTGAAATTTAAGTTGTTTGTTTGATTTAATTGTCTTTGTCTCTTTCTAACACATCTACAAAATCACTCCACAATCACTCCACAATCATGATTATATTATCATAATTTAACTTCTAACACATCTACAAAATCATAATTTAACTTCTAACACATCTACAAAATCACTCCACAATCATGATTATATATATTTTGCAGATCATTTAATAAGAATAGGATTAAAAGATGCAATCCTTACTATTTTTTTCGCTTTTTCTCATGAACAAAAACTATATATTTTTGGTGATTCTTGTGAATGGATTATTTTTTTCTATGTACTAGATGCTAATAAAGAAACAACAAAAATGATATATGTTCTACTTGATACTTGAAGGTATATTTAAAATTTAAAACTAATAACTTACCAAAAACAAAATTCTTCAAATATTTTCAGAGTTTATCTTGAATAGTGCTTAGCAAAATTCTGTACAATGACCATATGTGAATAATATAAATAGTCCACTCCCTTTCTTGTTTTATGTTTTACGCCTATTTCATGGTAATATCTTTTATTTTGTTTTAATTGTGTCTAAAAAACTCTTTATTTCTGTTTTTTCATCATGGATGTGCATTCCTTAACAGCTTCAAAGGTAAAAAAAAGAAGTGAATTGTGCTTCTTTCTTTTACCAAATTCTAGATCAATCCAATGTCTAAGCTAGTTGAAATGGATGTTAATCTATTGAAGAAATTAAACGGGAAAAGGGATATAACATGGTTCACGTTAGACACAGTTGCTTAACACAGTTTTTATGAATGTTTATAAACAAGTGACATTGAAGCCACTAGTTTTGCTAATATGTTAATAATAACTTCACTCTAGTCTAGTTTAACGTGTAGATGGGGACAAGGACGATAGAAAAAGTGAGTAGCTCCCAGACATGATGTTTCAGCATGATGAATGAATGAAACAGTAATTGATTTCACATGTTTGATTGCATCACTTTAGTTTGTTTTTAGTATTAGTGTGTAAAAATGACAACATGTATGCATCACATATATCGATCTTCTTCTATACATGAGAATAATATCCAACTCTGAACTCTCTATTCATACTTGAATTCAAGTAATGCGTTTCTTATGTTGTCAACTAATCCATATTGGATGCTTTTTTCAAAAAAGAAAATCAATATTTTGTCACAAATCAAGTAGGCAACATTCCAAGAAACACTGTTTATTTGCATGTGCGGTCTTCTGATTAGCACAGAGTCATTAAATCTCTGGAAAAATACATCTGTACATGAACATTATACTACTGGAATGGTATATTTATTTTAGCTATTTTCTAAGACTTATTTATTCATTTGAACACACGACTATATGGAACGATTAACTTAAGTTTACCATAGAAGAATATTTTCCACTTTTCCTGGCAGATAACTTAATTAGTTGTTGTAAAGAAAACTTAATTTAGTTATATTTGATCTTGTCAGCCTATAATGTCCTATCTTTATAAATGATTATTCCCGACTAGTGCATCTACAAGAGTATATAGCTATAAAATAACTAGAGCTTCACTTCATGGCAGAGACTTTGAATTTGGTGCAAAAAAGGATTACAGTTTCAAATTTATTTCAACCGTTGCTTCAAGAAATGTAACGCTCACTTACACAACACTGTGACCGTCGTGACAAATTTAATATGGGACCTTTGTGATTGATAGTACATATTGGATCATATCGAAATAACACATTGATACAGAGTGTTGACAGTCACAAAATAAAAGTGAATCCGTTTTCTTTTGTTATGTTAAAAGCTTTAATGCTGTAAATTATTATTGTTGGCTTTTTTACATGTTAGGGTCCTCCTACCAGTCCTTTAACCCACCACCCATGTTCTTTGTTTTTTGCCTTTACAACCATGCATCATTGATTACTCCACATAAAAAAAAAAAATCAAGTTTACATGAGAAAAAATAAAATAATTAAGTTTGTTATTGAATAAAGAAACATAAAAGTAAGTGTGTATCTTGAGAAAAGGGCTCCACTTTACTCAAATGCAGAGAATAACATGATCTTAATTCTTACCACAGCTTTTTAATTAACCCTCTGGATTCCATTAATCCGATATTAAATTGATATGTCCCCAACTAACCTCATCCACTTACTAATAATCTCTTCATTTTCATACTACGAGTTTGGTAAAGAGTCTTTAGCAGTTAGAGAGACAAAGCAGGTAAGATTAGATAAGACAATAACATAACTAAAGGTCCCTCACATTGACAATCACATATAGAACACGATACATAAACCAATCACATTATTTTTTGTCCCAAGCATAGAAAGACAGATGACGTCACTCTTGTAATAAAAATATCGTTTCTGTCGCATTTAGAATTCTTTTTGAAAATAAATATTCAAAACCCTAAAAAACAGAGATTGACTATTAAGTGTTTGACTACCTTACACTTCACACTCCTCTCTGTAATAACCACCACACCTTTCTTCTTCTTCAAACCTCTCTCTAGGGTTTTGCTCTCCTTCAATGGCCAATCTCTCCACATTCCTCTCCACTCTCCTCCTCCTCCTCCTCTCTCTTCCTCTTCCCTCACTCCAAGACCTCTCCGCCGACAAATCCGCCCTCCTCTCCCTCCGCTCCGCCGTAGGCGGCCGCACATTCCTCTGGAACACCAAACAAACCACACCATGCAACTGGACCGGCGTCTCCTGC